CAGAATAAAAACGTTGCATTATGTGTATGCATATTTGGCGTTATGCAGATTCAGTTTAAGTTTAATTTGAATATCGATTTCATCATTTCCTTGGAATGCATTAATATTTAGTGCAAACTCAAAAGACTTTTAGTAGAATCTTTATTTTTGCTTTCGCCGAATTGTAATTCAAATCTAATTATGGGCCCTTGTTTACAAAATTATTAGTTATAAATCAACGGATATGGAACGGTACCCTTCATAGTCAATGTATTTGTTTCATAAATGAAGATTTAAATTGAAATTCGATTAAACTTAAGATTGTACATGACAATATTATATCAAAAATAAATGGGCGGGCTTATTACGCTATTTTTTATCCTCAAAAAGGTTTTTTTTAAGTAAATATGTCAATAGATATCCGGGTAATTTCTAAAATAGCAAATATTTTGCGAAATAATTCACAAATCCATAGCTATCTGCGTATATATTCTACATTTTTGTATAAAGTCAGACAAGGTTCCTTTAATATATATGTATGTATATTCATATATGTATGTACAGAAAAAAGTCAAGACTTTTATCTTTTTTCACTATTATTATTATTTTTTCTTTTGCAAAACAGAGTTTCACATAATCTGTATGCGTTGTTTTCGCGGAGATTTTCAAAATGATCAATTGGTTTCATTCAATAACAAAAAAAAAAAAAAAATGCCAAAACAAAACATAGACAGAATAATCAAATGTCAAATTTAAACAAACTTTTAACAAAATAAGGCCAAACATAAGAAGACAATGTTATTCAAAAAATAAAAACTTTGCTTCGAAGCATATTAAATGGAATAGTAAAGTTATTTATTGTACTGTATTTAATTAAATAAAATATATTTGTTATTATTATTGTTGTTGTTGTTATCGGTAATATTTAAAGAGTACAATTAATTTATGAAATTAACTTGTTGTAGTTTTACTTTCTGCGAATTTGCAACATTTACTGAGTTTTTTTGTAATAAATGCAGAATTGCTATTGTTTTTCCTCGTTTTTTTTTACGTAAAAGAAAATAAAACGAAACAAAGGAAAATTAACAAAAGAAAGGGGGTTTATTGTTGATTGGATTTAAAAAAATATTTTTCTCTCAAATATTTTTTATTTTTGTCAGAATTTAATTATTTATCCGATTTTGTATGATAACTGAACTTCTATTGGAACGCCAATTGTCAAAAGCAGTCGACACAAATGTATGTGATTTGGTCATTCCATTAAAGGTTCAGTTGCTATTCGTAATCGAGCCACACATTTTTTACTGTAATTGTTGAATGTAGTTATTGTTTTTGTTGTCTAATTACCTTTTAGAGATCTTTTCCGAAACACACCTTCATTATGATGAAAATTTTAACAGAATGGAACGGAATGCGTGCACAAAATGCATTGGAACGCATCAGTACGAAAAAAATCGTAAACGGATTTTAATATTCAGTTTAATTTTTATTTTTGTTGGTTGTTGTTGTTTATTTATCTATCATTGAAACAAATACAAACACACACGAAAAACAACAGAATATATAAAACTTAAAATTAACCCAAAAATAGAGAAAACAAAACAAACAAAAAATAAACTTCAACTGAACTGAAAAATTCGAAATTAAAAATAATAATAATAATTTTTGTATTTTTTTTTATAAATATTATATGACATGTATTTTTGTACACTGTTATTGCTGTAGCTGTTCGACATTATCAATACACAACACACTCACGCGTAAAGAAGATACAACTTTCACATACACACATACGTTGATGTAGGTGCGTACGTTATATGGCATATTGGTATGTATATATGTCTGTGTGAGTGTGTGTGCGTGTATATGACTTGTGGAAATTAATGACAAATGGCATGTATTAGAACACATCAAAATAAAACATGATCATACACCGATACAGAGAATATGAATGTAGTTATGAATATATGTATATAATAAATAATTAATAATAAATAATAAACAATTTACAATTAATCGCACTGACATTTAATTTCATTGAATTTCCCTTTCAGTTATATCCAAGTATCTGGAATATGTTTTGTCTTTATATAATCAACATATATATTTTACAAACTGAATATTTACATAATAAATAGATTCCACAAATAAATTTAAAGCCCTCTCACTGTTTCAAATGACAATGATACTGAATTGAGATGATCTTGCAGAAATTTGCGTACCTTATCTTTGTATATGTATATCAGATAAGATGATCAGAAAACATATTCTTAAATTTAATAAAACATCATACTCTTTGTAAATCTTAACAATAGATATTTCATTTTAAAAATGCCTATTTTAAAAAACCGAAATTATGTTGTGATTGTTGAAGCTCAATAATATTTATACAAATTGTTACTGGATGCTGTTCGTTTACGCAAAATTCTATTAAAAGAGATTGAATTGAGAGAGTAGATTTGAAAGTTTTGTTGCTGAGTATTTGCTAGTTCTTACAAGGAATATTTACACAGTAAAGAATTTCCAGTCAGACAACTGATATTCATGAAGATGCAACCAATTGAAGATGCAGAAAGAGAAGATATTTTCTAAATATTTTTGCTTTTTTATTCAAACGAACACTCTAATGCATAAAGCATTGCGCCTTGGGAGACATTTAAACGTAGGCAGTAAAACATAATTATTAAACTGCAACGTACTAAATCATGGTTGTTTTTAATGAGACAGAGCCCTAAATGTGTAAGGCTATCCTGATTGCGTTCATGGACATACTGTTATATACTCTGTTATAAAAGAAAAACTGACAACAATTTTCACAAAAAGAAGAAAATACACAGCTCATGAAATGCAATTTTTAGATCAGGGCAACAGCTGTAAAATGTCTGGCAGCAGTGTTGTGCAGCTATTGCTGTACGAGAATACAAAGATTATCATGCATCAGTGTTACAGCGACCATGAACACTTCCTACGTTGAAGCCCTCACTCAGAACAATGAAGGAATACGAAAATACCCATCATATGTCTTTTATATAATTTAACATGTTATGATCTTCGATAAGCCTTACACAGCCAATAACACATTTCAAAAAAAAAAGAAATACATTTTCGTTGGTGACCAGGCAAAACAAATCACTGGCCACAATAAACGTTCAAAGTGTCTCAATTAAAGGGAGAACTTCATTGACGTGTTTCGCAATAAATAGCCAGCCTTTTATTTAATCGAAAGCCTTCTTCAGGACCAGAGTTTCCGTGGTTTATTGGAATTAAACCATATTACCGCTACAACCAAATCTAATAAATTTGGGTGACATACAAATAATGATGAAATTAAAAAAAAGAGTTAGGAAATAATACAACAAATATGCGCGGATTTGATTTGATGGTTGTTAGTCAACAAGGTCCGATGAATGAAAAGAAGAGGGATGAGAGTACACAAAATAAATGTGAAGAAAGAATTATTTTTGAGAAGGATTACGATGCGATGCGATATATTCAAGTATGTACGTTTGTGATGAAAACTTATTGAATACATTGTTTTTACATTGGCACTATTCTATTTTAATAGAAATAATAAAAAATAGATAGATATATATAAAATATATATATATATATATATTGACATACATATACAATTCTAATACGATTGACAGACAATGTAGTTACAATGGGGAATGGAAGAATAGCTTCTTTAACAACCAACAAACAGACAAAAGGGAAGAAAATAAAATTCTCGGTGGTGTAACATATTCATATGATTGAATGTAACTATGTATGTACGTACGAAAAAGCATATCACATAATATAGTGGTAAATACTTCAGTTGATTACATATTGCTACCGATTTATAAATATAATACTATGTATGTATATGTATATTGGGGGTGTATGTTCGAATCTACAATTGTCATAATTTTTTTATAAATCTGGAAGAGGGAGGCATGTTCTAGCAAAACTATTTTACTAACACTATTTTAGGATGAGTCATCGTAAGGAAGGAACATAGTTAGAAAGACCAATAGAGACAAAATGACAATTGCTTTGCACTCACCATTGGCAACAATCAACCAGGTTTCTAGATAACGATACCAATGGTCTCGAAGCAGTTCATATCGTCTGTATAGATAATCTACTTAAACTAACAGATTCGTAATAGTACATATTACTACTATCTTAGGCACTGTCCGTTGTGGATTCGATCGAATAAATATGGTAAAAGGAAACTGTTTTTGTATATTGCAACATATCTAATTGACTAAACAACTAGTTTATATAAAATGTTCTTGACTATATATTTCGATAAACAACACACAAACTAAGAGATGAAAACGAAAATTAAAAAAAAAATTAATATAATCAATTCAAAAAAATAAATGTAAATTACAAAAAAAGGAACTTAAGATAAATTAAATCAATGCCTAACATTATTATCGTTCTTGTTATTTGTAATAGTAGTAGATTTATTATAATTCTGCAATCTGATTGTGGTCAAATACGTAGATATAGAGCTATATGTGTGTGTGTTATTCTCGTAATGGACTGGACAAAAAGAATCTATTTCTCATATGGGATCAAGTGAAAGGGAAAAAAACTTTACAAATTTTAAATATATATTAAAGCCAATTAAAAGAAGGGTCCATATATTCGATAGGTGTAATCTTAGTTATACTAGGAATGTATCGTGGCATTCAGTGACCAAAAATATTACTTGATAATTTAAGCTCAGTTATTAGTTGTTGGAGGTCTTATATTGTAAAATCAGTGGCAAGATATGCCCACAACTGCCAAGGATTCCCCGGCTATACTACGCTAATAAAAATCTTTTCATTTCCATTTAATCCCATCAAGAAATTTTTTTATGGTCTAAATTTATTTCACAGAGTCTTTAGACATTAAAAAGAATCAACTAAACGAAAGAGGTACTCAAAAAAAAAAAAAAAAAACAAGAAAATAAATACGAAAACAAGGAATGTACAAACAAGAACAATATATTGATCTAGAAAGAGGCAACTAATAGTACTTACCGGTTATGGAGCACAGCAGGCGAAGTGTCGGTGTATTGCCTGAATATTGATTTATCATGCCCTGGCTGTGAGCCTTCGGTGCAGGCATACTTAATGTTATAGCCTTGTGGAATTTACGGCGACGTGGTTCAACAGTAACAATAGGCGATACTGCAACCCCACGTCCTAAAAGTTTTGCAGTTAAGTCTGGATCAACTGGTTGTGCCTATTGCAAGAAATGAAATAAAGAAATAATTCACATCATTTGGAGCTAAATACTTAAAAAATGATTTTTCTTCTTTTTTAAATTAAGATGGCCATTTAGTTTATATAACTTAAATACACGAATACATAACATTTACTTAATTATATAACATTTTATATTTTTATTTTTAAGAAGACAAAAATAAAATAAAACAAAATATCTGTTTAGTAATCGCTTAAGTGTTCCATACGCCATCATCTGCATGAATTTAAATTTGTGCAAAATATGTTTTTTTTTCTATTACATTTATCACAATAAATAAAATCAATCAACACTCCGTTTTAGGTTTGTGTATGTCACTCAAGTGTATAAGTGATTTTGATTAATATTTGTGAAAGGGCCAATTTTCTTGCCAACAATATCAATATTTAATGACATTTTGAGATCATTAATGCGCATGAAACATTCAAAATTTGGCAAACGAATGTAGATAATTTCCATCTAAATGATTTATATAATCTGATGACTTATTATAGCCCTTATATATCGAATGAACTTAATTTATGTACCAAAGGCTTATTACGTGTAGTTTTTTCTAATAAGTTTTGTTTTCTTGTTTATATATACTTTTTAATGAATTTACTTAAACAGTAATTATATTAGTTTTCGCTATCTTGTAATATATGTATTTATATTTATGTATATTTACTACGATTTGTCGATAGAAATTAAATGGCGATGAACATTTTATTTAATTTGTTTTCTATATGTTTTAAATGTTAATAAATTTGTTTTATTTTTACCATATGATTTTTCTAATATTTTAACTTTTTGGCTATTTGGTTAATATTTCAACCAAATAAAAATGTTCAGCCCCATTTCATTTCCCAATAAATTTAGTTATCAAACAAATAATGTTCAACTACTTCAACATGAAATAATCAAAATCAGAAAGATGAACGCAAATAATAAGTTAAAACCAAAGAAAAATGCATAAAACAGTGGATTTAAAACAGTGGATTCATAAGGGGATTGGAAAACGTAAAATAGAAAAAAATTTAAATTCATAAACGGAAATTAAAATATAAAAATTCACATATATTAATATAATCATGTATGTATGTATGATATCCTACATAAACAGGGGCCGTTGAAAAATCATTTTCTTTACGTATTAAGCTTTCCAAATGAAGGCACTTTCCATTTCACCAGACCCTATGTTTTGCCCACAGAGTATCGTGAACATATATCCCTTGCTCAAAATTCCAAAAGTAATCCCAAAATAGGAAATTGAATTCATTGGAATAAATATGCATTTTTCTTCAGTCGAACGAAACGAAAGAAACAAATCAGAACATTCAAAATTTGGTTTTGCCTTTTTATTTGTAACTAAATTTATTGGGTTTAATTGTAGTTAGTTAATAATTGTTGCTGTGATAAGTAAGAGTTTAGGTTTACACATTAGTATATCGTAATAATTATCGTAAGAGTAAAAATAATAAGAAGTAGAGATTCAGATGCACCAGTTGATTTCTACAGTATTTTAGTATACTTTATGATTTGCAATATATATGTATGTATGTATTTAAGTTTATTCGAGTTTTATTTATGAAAAAATGTTATTCTACATCTCTAATTTTTGAGTTTGTTTTCACAGTTTGTAGTACTCTACTATTGAAATCGATCCATGATCATTGATTATTAATTGTTAAAAATGTTTGACGTTTTTTCTTTGTTGTTACTTATTATAAGATACGTTTTGAGTTATATATGTAGGTAAGTATTTGTGCATAATTTTATTGTTTAGTTTGGGATTATATTGTTTGTATTGCATATGTACCATCGTAACACTAAATTATGATTGGGTACTGATATTAGGAATAAAATATTTTAACTCGGATAATTTAATTGAATCAAATATCGATATTTGTAAAACGATTCAATTTTAAGTATTATGTTAAGTATGATCCATTCACGGCGAGCAAAACATATTCAAAAGAGAGTGCTATGGATCAATTCAATTTTAGGAAAGTGCCGTTTAAATGCACTTAAATGTTTGACGTAAAAATTATCGTTTCACATACATCGAATCTACACATGAACATATCAAGTAATATTATTTTAAATAATTCTTAGATTCTCATTAGCATAAATAATAAATAGTGACTAACTGGAGAACACAGTACGCATTTGCAAGTTTAAAATGTCCATTGTATAGGAGAGATGGGGTATTGAAATTATCAAAATACATAGTTTGATAAATAAAATATATAGCGAGCTTGGAAATATTTTTCCGCATTGGGTAGTGCAAAACAACCCCCTATAGTTGCATACAGAAACAATGGAATGATATCGAATCACTTGTTCTATCAATATAGTATTTGTGCTTTACAATTTGTCGTGGAATGGAAAAAAATTGAACCACAGTGGTTGCGCTATACTTCTATTGCCCGAATAGACTATAAGTATATATAATTTATATTTTATACGAAATTGCAGACTGAGTTTAAAGCATAACATTTCATTGTTTTCTTTTTTGTTATTTGTCATAAGCTGCTGATGGAATATTTATGATACAATATTTTCGATTTACCAAATGAGCGAAAAACGCTTTTTCTTTGGTACATGATTAACACTAATTTTACGCAATTTTTCTGGCGCAACACCTTTGCGAGGTTTAAAGAGGTTTACCTGTAAGCCAACTTTAATCTTTTTAGTTAGAGCTCCTTGTGGGAATACCGCCTGCACCTGAGGCACCACAGTGCTAGACACCATTCCACCTTCGGGTCCGATAGCATGTACCTCCTGGCGTATGCGAGTTACAACAGCGAAATATTGTGGGAAATCATAGGTAACAAATCGGCATACATGATTGCCAGACTGTTCCTCAAGTTGGGCGATTTCTAGAGCATAAACAAAGAAAACATTGCACCTACATGTTTTTCAGTTCAAAAACAAAAAAACTAGCTCACCTTCTGGCTCAAAGCATTGTTGCAATACATCATGAATGATTTCTTCGGAATTTTCAATGGTGTGCTCGCGCCATGTCTCGCCATTATCGGAACGTAAAATTATAATTTCACGTTCTTTTCCACGCAACGAAGCAAAATGGGGAACCTCCATAATAACGGGTCCAATGAATTTCGTCGACACAGGGCCTAATTCGAGGACACGACTTGCCAGAGCCTCACCCTCCATCAACTGGGGAGGATGCATAGTGCGCTGCGGTTTAACGTAGCGACATGTAACACGCGTTGGCTGAGCAGTCGAACGAGATGGTATGATCATGCGAACACCGCTGTGACGGCAGCCTCGCATAGCACCACCACGTGCATCAACCAAGAAGGAGACCAAGAAGCTGAAATGGTCAAATGGGAAAACATTAGCACTTGTTAAATGCATTCTGAGAATAACCAGACAAAGACACAAACCTTTTCCATTGTAATTTACGTCTATGCATTTCAAGAGAAAAGTTGGAAAAAAGTATACATAGTAATAATGTATGAAGGTTAGCATATTATTTGCAATCGTTTTGAACGAAAATGAGAATCAACTTAAGAAACGCAAGAAACCGAAAACTCCAAAAGAAAAAACAAACAAAACAACTAACAAACGAATGGGAAACATTTTACTTACCCCTCGTGCTGATGGTCATCCCCGTTTAACATATCGTTCGATATGTAAATACCACCGTCACGCATTGTTTTCGTATGGACAGCATTGTAGGTTTGTGCCTTTTGGGGACTTATGGCGCTCTCGACAGCCGGCTGCGGTTGTTGCTGCTGTTGCAATCCAGCGTTGGTGTATTCAGCACTCTGGGCCATGCGATTGGAGTCCACACGTTCATCACGTGTCACATCAATGGGCAGAGAATCATCTCCTAGGGATTTCATTTCATCAACTGTCAGATAGCGATAAGGTTGGTCGGAAAGCATATTATCTTCGCCTGATCGATGGGTAGAGATTAGCGAGTAGCATTGGCGACATTTTTTGGGCAGTGGTATATATTGGTGGTTGTAGTGTTTTTTGTTTAGCGATTTGTAGCATTCCAATTTGGTTCGATCGATTGATTGATTGGTTCGACACAGCAAAGTTTGATGATGATAATGTGCAGTGAGGTATTTGAAAGTACATACAAAATTGATGAATGAGTTAAGAATTCGTTTCTATATTTGCTACTAAAATTGACAATGACATATATGGTATATAGAACATACATACGTATTTTCAAATTCAAATCAAATCTCATGCATATATATTTATAGTGACCATCGTTTTCTTCTTCGTAGTCATATTATATATATTTTTTGTAACAAATCGCATACAGATACTTTGATTGAAATCAAATCAAATCGAATATTTTTGTATAGTTCAGTTCGTCGTTTTTAGTTATATAAGCGAGAGTATATATTTTTTATTTTGTTTTTCTTCGGAAGATATTTACCAATTTTACTTATCAATCCATTTTAACCAATATTAATATGATTTGATTTCCGAACATCGTTGAGCTTATTTGAATATTTTTATAATACACAACATGTATAAATAAAAGATGTCATATTTACAAGTCAGTTTCAATTTATAATCATAATAATATATACAAATGTATGTCAACATTATGGGCTTCGAATTCGTTTATAACGAAAACATTTATTACTACATATCGGCTATAAGGTCTGTATCCCAAAGCGTTACCCTTTATAGCGATAAATGTCGTCAAAACATACTGATATTTTCAAATTAGAAAATACCGTACAACGATTTCTAGAAGTACTAATTGTTTGGACATTTTGATTAGTATTTGATTAGTATATGAGAATTAATCTTGGTTAGTATGCACGACTATTGAAACTGTATTTGTTTCGATCATGTACCATTACGCACAATTGTTTTAACATGAGTATTTGTATTTACATACAAGATCATTTATGCTATCCCTAGAGAACTGGTAATCCACAGGGACGGGTCAAAACCAAGATGGAGGAAGGCAACGGTGCGAGCGTCTAGGATAAACAAGCGTATTTTTCAGTTTCAGAGTTTCCACAAATCAAGAAAACTTTCGAACTGGATAAACAGGCTAATTTGGAATTAGCAAGATAAGACCCCTGTGGTGATACTCTGTAACTGCTCAAAGACGGATTGTCGATAAGTGCAAATTTTCATTTGCTTAATTAACGAAAATATTCGGTAACTTAACTTGCAAAACATTTAGTAGTCGTTAAGCCCTACCGAGAGATATGCAACATTTAAAATAAATTGTAATTTTTATAAAAATATGCGTTTTAATTTCGCCGACATTTGTCGATGAGGATTTATTTGACATGTATACAATGGAATTGACAATATAAACACACTGGGTTAACGAAATCCGATACAATGTTAACGCACTTTAAGAAATGCTATTTTTGCACTTATAATTTTTCAAAATTTGAAAAACAACATTATGTGTAAATACATACATTGTTGTTGTTGTTGTGAGAAAAATTACAACATCATCTGCACAATTTTTGACGGAAAAAATGAATTGTATTTAAACACACGGAAATCCTTGAAACATCAAATTGATGTCATGTTGACATTTGTAGATTTTTACGTATGTACGTACATAAAGGAATCCATATCGATGTACATAAATCAATCCATATCACTTAAAGCACGTCATCATAAATCGCGAACAGTCATAGAAATATATCCATATCTCTTGACAAAACAAGAACCTAAATATTGAGACCTACTATGTTTTAATTTTTGTTGATTCGTTTCTTGGTGGAGTAAATGTTATTGTTGGTAATGTATGGATGTCCTACGTATTGGTTGATCTATCTATTATTTTAATATTCTGTATCAAACAAAACGAAATACATTTGTTATCCTGTCAACATTGAAGGTATATATGGTCGTGTGTACACAAATAATTGCTACATACATACATAAATTATATAATTTTTTTTTTCTTAACACATTTACATTTAGACATTGGCAATAGAGTTAGTAGTTTGGTAGAGGTATATATGAATGAACGAGTATGAGAATACAAGGTAGTAAAATGAGGAGCCCATTTTCATAGGATTAGACACTTACAGGACAAGAACAGTGATTCACCGCGATAATATGGCAGATAAATGTGGCTATCGTTCTTTTGGCGGTCACTCTTAATGCCCAAACACGGATCCCAATCATTTGTGTCACCTATATTTGGCATGTGGTAACGATAGTATGTAGATGACACAATCAAGAAATTACAATTTTCGATTATAAACGATGGCAGAGATTTCAAGTAACGGCTCAAGTGTCACAAGTGGGAAGTATGTTTTTGGTTGGTTCGTGTTCTTATTCTGTTTTGGTTCAGGGCCTTTCTTGTGAGGGCACCATCCAGCCATCGTTCAATAAACTGATGGATGGATGGATACGAGGATGAACGGAAACGTAATGGGATTGGGAGTTGGATCATAGTTCGAATGTGTTTGTATGGTTGTGTTTAGTATGTGTGCGCACGAGTTTTAGTATGGTAACAATGTTGGAGAATGTGTGAACATAGTTTGAGCCAAAAAGAAAATCTAAATAAGGAATGAACAAAATATGTGGTGCATTTTTACATTCCCCTAAATCTAATTAACAAAGTTCCATAATAACAAAAATGTAAAATGTCTGACACACTCAATTCGTTTCAGATACATACCTCCTTCTTCTTCGGAATCGGACATAAACGATTCGTGCATGGCCTCCGGTGCAACCACTCGATATTTTTCATCTGAATGGATTTGTGTGGAACCCTCCGGTTCATTGGTGTACGATTTCAGCGAATCCAAAACACTAATGTAGCCCAATTTCCGGGCAATGTCCAATGGCGTTTGTCCGTTCGTAGTTTGGGCATTAGCATCGGCATTATGCTCCAGCAGAAGCTTAACAATATGACAATGACCTTGCTGAGCACTCTGATGCAGGGGTGTGTAGCCAATGGACGTGGCAGAATTAACATTGGCTCCATGCTGCAAAAGGAATCGCACCATATTGGCCTGGCCGAAGTGTGCAGCAACGTGTAGCGGTGTATAGCCGGCTTTGGTGGCCATATCAATGTTGGCTCCATTGCGTTGAAGTATTTCGGCGACGTTGACATTGTCCTCTTGGGCACATAAATGCATCGGTGTCAACCCGTTTTTGGCTGGGTGATTTACGCCGGCCTTGTGTTCGATTAAGAGATTCGAGATTTCTGTGTGTCCCTCCTGGCAGCTGAGGTGCAGGGGGGTGAAACCAGCCTTACTTTCGGCATTAGCCTGGGCACCGTATTCCAGAAGTGTTGTAGCAATGTCCATTTGATTTTTACGAGCCGCAATGTGCAACGGCGTGTGTCCATTTTTGGCTGTTGCATGGGGACTGGCACCTTTCTCCAGCAGCAACAAGGCAACATTTTGATTGTCATAGTGGCAGGCCACGTGTAACGGTGTCACGCCATTTTTGCCCTGGGCATCAACGTCGGCTTCCTTTTGCAACAGCAACTGGGCGACCTTGATGTGACCGTACTTAGCGGTTAAATGCAAAGGTGTAAAGCCTTTCTTGGTGGCAGCATCTAACGCAGCGCCGTTTTCAATCAGTACAGCAGCCACCTAAAATGTAGAACGGGGTTTGTCATTGCTATGTATGAAGTATAGAAGTGTCTAAGGAGTGCACCAGGACTTGGTATCTTTTGTTGATATTGTCACTGGTGGATTGATAGCTTGCTTGTTTGTATGATTGATTAGTGGTAGTTATTGTGATGCTATTTAGTATTAGCGAAATTAGTGTATGTGTACGAAAAGAAACAAAATATAAAGCTAAATACACACTCACTCCCTCAACCAACAACAACAGATATTACAATACACAAGTGTTTATAGGAAAGCTTGCACCAAATCATAAATGTGCTCTTTTCAATCACCAACCCCGAAAATATTTTCAGCTAGTTTGTCCCTGCTGAAGGCAGTGACAGTACAACTTAATTGAATAAAATAATCCTATTCCCATTACCAGGGTCATAGTCGATCGTTAGCCCCATTTGTGCCACATTTCATTAAAGTAACGCTAGTTTACTTCTTGACGGAACTAAATTTAAATATTTTTTTTTATATATACTAAAATAAAAATACCTAATAAAAATTAAAATATCTTCTTTTTTTATTTTACATTTTTTTGCTTTTGTAAAAATTAACAACAATTTGCAGCAATAACAAATAAATAAATAAATAAAAATCTGTGCAACTATAAGATAACAACAATAAATATATGTATATGTATGTATGTTAAATTAATCAGTGGTTTAATAGAGAGAAAGAAAACAAACTTATACAAATAATAATAAATAAATTAATAATAATAATAGTTGAGAGAAAAGAACAACACTTATGTGACGACGACATACAACTTGAAATAAGAAATTAAAATTTGAACAACTTTCAGAATATTTATATGAAATACTCTTGATGGCGTATCCAAAATAATTGCATCAAATATACAGTATCAATGTGATCCATAATCTTTTTGGCAATTAATTGCTTTACCTCATCTTGGCCCTCCTTGGCGGCAATATGTAAAGCCGTGTACATGTCCTTTGTGGTGGCATCCACCTGAGCTCCGTGTTGCAACAATAGCATGACAATATCAACATTGCCCAATCTCGATGCAATGTGAAGTGGAGTTTGCTGTTCACGTGCGCGTGCATCAACTTGAGCTCCATTGCGCAACAAAATCCGTATAATATCAGTCTGTAAAAAATACAATATGAATAATATGCACTATTTATTTAACACACCATTTAAATAAAACAAAAAACAAATACAAATTTATCAATTACTATCGGACATTATGATTTTATTTTTATTTTTCCAAATTAAAGCAAAATCTATTCTATTTCTTTAAATAAATAGTTTTGATCAAACTTTCAATTGAAATTTCTATTCTTTTGTTGATTTGGAATATAACGTTCAAATTCTTTATATGTAAATAATATTAATTAAAATAAAAAGCTTTCTTTCATACCTGATTTGCTCTGGCGGCTAAATGCAATGGAGTTTCGCCGCGAACAGTTGGAACATCCGGGCTAGCATCGTGTTGTAATAAATAAATGACTATATTCATGCATCCCATAAAGGCGGCCACATGCAACGGTGTCAAACCACTTTCGGTTGTAGCGCTAATACTTGCTCCGTGACGTAGCAACAATTCAACAACCTTGATGCGATTCTTTTTGCAAGCAATATGTAGGGGAGTAAAACCATTCAATGCCCTAGCGTTGGCATCAGCATTACGATCCAAGAGCAGTTTGGCCACTCGCACGTGTCCACAGTGAGCGGCAACATGTAATGCGGTAAGATAATCTACAGTGACTTCATCTACCGGTGCTCGATGGTACAGTAAAATTCGGGCAGCATCGACATGTTCTCCCTGGGCTGCCATGTGTAGTGGAGCAAGGCCGTTTTTAGTTTTAGCGCTAATCGGAGCACCACGTTCTAGCAGCATATCCACTACTTGTTCGTGGCCCGAGCGTGCAGCACAATGCAGGGGCGTTAAACCGTCGCGGGTTTTTGCTTCGATATTTGCTCCCTTCTCCAAAAGTAATGAAACCATATTGGTTTTGCCCCATTTTGCAGCCACATGAAGTGGACTAATATTATGTTTGGCTGAGAAGTTAACGTCGGCACCTTTCTGTATGAGAAGATTTGCAATAGCTTGATTGCCGTAGTGCGAGGCAATGTGCAGGGGAGTAAAGCCAGATTTGGAAGTTACATCAGGATTATGATCATTCTAGAAAGAAGAAACAGTATTATGTAGATATATCTATAATTTAAGTAAAAGCAAGAACTAAAACGTGACAATAATTTTGTAAAATAATCTCGAAAAACACACACAATTAGTAATACTTCTTGAAAAACTTAGGATTCAGGCACAGGTAATTTAACGGGAAAAATGTTGTTTGCCTTCGATGAAATTGGTTTTTATTTTTAAATGGCTCTGAGGTTGTGCGCCTTCGATTGTTAAGAATGTATTTTAGTATTTGCCAGTTTTTCAGGATTTTCTATATAAATTACTCTGTGTTTGTATCTTGAATATGATAAAGATAAGAATACTTTATTTTGCAAATGCAGAACGAAGACATATATTCCAATCATTCAAAAATGTGATCAATGGATATGCATGTCTACCAACAAAATTCGCAATGAGACATACAAATTTATCAATTCAAGTTTCGAGATCATTTTACTAGAATACCCACTAAATTTAAATTTCAAATCTTACATCCAAAAGCAATGTAGCCGCTTTTACGTCGTCTTTTTTAGCAGCAATATGCAAGGCCGGCAGTCTAACCTTGCCACGTGTGTCACTTTCTAATAATACAGCCACAACCTTATCGTGACCTTGTTGCATTGCCACCGCCAATGGTGTGAATCCATCTTCGGTGGCTAAACTTTGGTTGGCGCCATTCGACAGTAATAATTTTACCACTGAATCATGATTCTCCTGTGCAGCCATGTACAACGGTGTAAAACCATTCTGTGATTGCACATTAACAGACGCTCCATGTTGTAAAAGTAGCTTTACAACTTCCTCCTGACCCGCCAACGAAGCAATATGCAATGCAGTATTACCCTTTTTGGTAGCACTGTCTACAATTGCACCACGCCTCAATAATTCTGAGACCACATGAACGTGGCCATCTTTCGATGCCAAGTGCAACGCATTTAAACCATTCTGCAATTTAAAAGAATTCAATAAATAAGTGTCATCCATTTTTATTTTGTATTGTCCAACTTACCGCATTACTAGTGTTAATGTCAATGTTATTTTTCAAGTGTTCGAGAACTTTGTCCATATTGCCAGCTCTGGCAGCTCGCAGAAACGATGTGTTTCCATCGCCCTACAAAAATATTGAATAAAAAACTTCAATTAGCAAACAATGCAATAAAAAAATTAATAAGGTTTGTTGTTCAATTCCCATCTTAAAGAAGTGTACGAAACACAATACCATTATATATATTTGAAAGATCTATTATAATCGGCAATCAACACTTGAACTCAAAACAAGAATCAATTTCGTGAATATTTCTCATTTACAGTTTTAAGTGAAGAGTGAAAATCATTTTTCGGCAGAAATATCTAACTCATTTCAGAATACACAATACCATATACAAGAACCATTATGGAGTAGATCACGATACCCTCGGAATTCCTAATTTCATGAATTAGAATAAATGTTCCTGTCCGATCTAGTGGAGACTATCATATCTTATATACAGGCTTCCATTGCACGAATTACTCTATGGGAGATCCTTTTAGTAAAATGTGTATTGATTTTAATTTTGTATACTCTAATGTAGAACTTATAAAATCGAATATAATTGTGTTTTTAAATGAGTAGTAGAACTTTATAACTGGCTCCTGAAGTAGATTCTGTAACTGGTTTTCCTCTCTTCTCTTGAATGCTATCATGATGCAGATCATGGTGAGTTCGCGATGCCTACAAAACGGGAAGTCGCTCCCTCGGTCAACAAAAATATTCATCAATTATGTATTTCCTAATAACAAGGACGGCATGAATTGTATAGCGAAATTCAGCGAGATTATGGATTGGAAATAAGCGTATGTGATCTGATTGAATCCCTTCTTTTTGAATCCTTAACAGAAATAATATAAGTACATATGACAGACATTTTTCGTCTTCTTCTAAAGTCAACTGCCTTCCATTGTTCATGCCTTCCATTCTCTACTTAAATCCTAGGAAATATATTTATCCTATTTAACCCTTTCAGTGTTTTTGTCGAATATATTCGAAATTTAAAAATACTCTCTTTCTTTGCGATTTTTCGGTTATCCTATGTGCCGTTACTATTTATGTTTTTGTTTTTGCTGAAAGACAGACGAAACTGGCCGAGGGTTAAAATGACAATTGATATTTTTTCTAAACTATGTCCCTTTATATGATTTTAAATACAAAATTTTAGATTTTTATTCCGACAGAACTTTTTTGTGTCACTGAAGGGGTTAAAACATGTTGGTTTATACTCATATAGAGTTCCGGCATAGATCAACTAGGTCCATAAACCAGTGACAAAGTATGTTTTTATCTACTGACCATATGTTTTATTTATTTTTTTAACGAAGTATAGGTTTAAATAAAAAAATATTGGTCATATGTAGTAAAATGATTAAAAGCTACACCATTTTTAGTTATTGGATCATTTCACTGACTAGTTGGTCATGTTTTGCAAATATTTAACTAGAAGACTAGACGTCAACAGTGCTCGTCAGTGTCGCGTAAACAGAGCACTCGTATTATTATACTATTTATTCCACAAATGTGAATAAGACTAATAAACAATGCTGTTTTATTGTAATTATTATTTTTTTTTATAATAACATGTATGTATTATTAACTTTGGCCTAATTTATTATTATTATAAAAATGACTCATAGATTGGCAAAAAAGTGAGCTTACAGTTTTTAAGCAACAACAAAAAACACCTGTTCTACTGCTTTGTAAGGTTGGATGGTAAAAGCAGGTGAATTAATATATGAATAAAACACCCACAACAAACAATTGAAATTATATGCATGTACATAGGTACACACATATGTATGTGCCATCCACATGTAGAAAGTACATGTATTTTGTGTTGACTATAACTTATATTATATATTTCGTATCGGTGAACACATGATTCGGTTTCCGGCTTTGTTATTCGGCTACCCGACAGTGTGCGCAGCCGTTTGTTTATATATTGCATTTTATTTATTTTCGAAAACACAGCACGCGAACTACCCTTCTTCATCGGTGTTCGAAGAATGGCGTCATTGCTTCCAAAGAGAACAACGTAAACAAACCCGAAGAGACGGAAGACACTGAGAGTGACATTATTAAATAGTGAGAAGAGCGAGCCACTGGAATATCGAAATCGAATAGAATTCAAACATACTCGTATGTTGTTTCGAATAAGAAATACTTGTCATGTGTCAGCATTGTGTGTCTTTTAAGATATACGAATTCAGTCGAATCATTATCACGAACTAAAAATCGCCTTTTTTTAATCAACAACAAATTCTGGTATGGCAAGAATTGTTTGACAAAACAACTGAACTTTTTTCCTGTTTTCTATTCTTTTTATATTTCTTTGAAGTATTAGAAGAAGCGCTCATAGAAAATACATTAACGACAATGCCAGTATTTGTTGTAGGCGAATCGATTCCATTGACTTTTGTGATTACATTTCGCTTGATCGATCTGAAGTTGTAATATTGCGTATGTAACCTTGATACAAATAACCAGTAGTCCCAATATTGTTGTTTTGTTTATTCCTATTGTGGATTACGTAATATAGTTTCTTAACAAACTGAGCTACTCTTATGGGTAGAATCAAACTGTTGGTGAACTTCTTTAAATAAAATTGTTACATCCGATATTGGAATCGAAAATTTAATTTCTTTCCCGGGTCATTTGTTACCCGGCACATTTTTGCCAATGATAATAGTGTCAGAGTCACACAAACACTCAATAACATGTTTTGAAACATTTGGCCCCGGAATTTAACATTTTTTGCGAAAATTATTCAAACGTTCCATTCTTATCTGAATTGCTTAGAGTATACAAGTAATTGGATATGTCTGTTTTGCAAATATTTATCCAATAACCATATAGTTATCAAAGATCCACCCATAATGTGCCCTCCCCTCCATTTACTCTATACTATATGCTATTATTAGGTTAGTTCATATTTGACATTATTATTTTTGTGTATGAAATCACGTAATCTCAACCCAACTAGCCAACTATTCAACGACGGTCGTATTATTGTCGAACACCTCGACTTCGCCTGACAACAAACACAATACTGTGTGTGAGTCATGCATTATGTAATGTCTGTATTAGTTTCCTTTAAAAAATACTGAAAAAATAGACAAACTACACACAACTGGGCAGTAATTATTTCGTGCATTCTCCAAATTGGGACATTGAAAAAGTTTAACAGTCAGTTTAAATGTGGCAAGGGATGACAGACACGCAAATCTATATTAAATAGCCACACCCTTTTTAGAGACAACCGTTTTAACCTAAAAAGGCTAAAGGACATTTTAAGTTAAAAAATTCAAAAAATATAGTTTTGAAATTATTTTAATTAATAACTGTTCATATATAGGGGAGAGGGGGGCACCTTTGAACGTGGGGCACCTTTGAACAGCGCTCATAAAATCTTGGTTTAATATTTTTCCGACCCGCAACCACATTTTTGTATATGGCAATCGTGTTCTCTATATGCGTAAACCACTTTGGCTTGCTTTTTCAGTTGTCGAAAAATTGTGCATGGGTGACCATGTTTTCTCAGTGTCATTGTAAACTTTTATTCATTTGGTTGTAAGGGCGCAGGAAGAATTATGTGATAGTTTTCTTTCGTCAAACAAATTTTTTGCATTCCAACAATCATTTCAAACATAACTAATGTAATTTCTTTCATATATATTTATTACAAAAAAAGTTATTTTAAATTTCCGTAAAATGTCATGGGTGGGGCACCATTGAACATGCCCATTAAACTCGAGTAAAAAAAGGAGTTTTTAACTTTTGGCTTGGATTTCTCAAAATTTCAAATGGGCTAATAAGATTACGAAATTAACTGTATTTTTCACCATATTAATTTGTATTTTTGAGACATTTTATGTTTTAATAATTTTTGATCTAAATTTTTTAAATTTTGAATATTTTTTATATATTTTTTAATGAATTAATGCATTTCTGATATGTATGAATAAAATACATACATATTTGAACATAAACACTGTAAAAAACCATGTCGTTCAAAAATGCCAACCCCTGTTCAAAGGTGCCCCCCTGGGGGGGCAGTTTTGAACACTTTGAGTTCGTCCATTAAAACAGTTATAAAATACATTTATCAAGCTTATAGTTTGTCATATGTATATTCATTTTAAAGGTTACATATGTACCTATTAGTTAAAATTTATAAGAAACCAAAAATGATAAAATAAAAAATTTTATAAGGCTTGAAAGCAAAAAGTGTTCAAAGGTGCCCCCCTCTCCCCTATAACTGTTAATATATATATATATATAGATATTCTTAAACCCCCTTTTTGAAAACCCGTTTATACGATCTCCCAAAAAGTCCTTGAAAATGAAATTAGAACTATTTTTTTTTTTTTGCAACAATTCATTACACCAAAAAATGTATTTAAAAAATATTTAAAAATGTTTTTTATTCATTTTTTTTCTGTGAAAAATCAATAGTCGTTGAATGAAAAAATGGATGCCCACAAACCATCATGGCTACCAGCCAGACGATATATTGTATGTATTCAATAAATTTTTTTCTGTTGGGTAAAAGTGGAATTTTGCCATTTTTTATTATAATTTTACAATAAAATATTAAATACCTGTGTTCCGTTTTCGGTAACCATTTTGATAAATTATATATTTTTATGTTTTACTTTAATATCTGCGTTATTTTATAAAATTTTGTTAAAATATTATTGATTCACTTTCTTCTATGGTATAGAGAAATTGTGTAAGCGTATGTCGTCACTGCTGCGGTTGCTGCTTAGTCATATTTTTTCTTAGCTTTTTTACTTAAAATTCAAAATGGATTTTTATAAAATTTCTGGTTGGTTTTCTTATATTAAACACAAATTGTCGTCAATTGGTGCAGTTAAAAGTATTATTCAACATTTGAAATTGGAAAAATAACTTTTTTTTACTTTTTCTATATACTATTAAGGTATATGCACTATAATATGTATGCAGAGACATATAAGTATGTAGTATGCGCGAGTGTGTGTCCTTTTATAGGGGGTGTGTTTGTGTGTGTATTCATAAAGGAAGATGTTTTTTTTTATTTTTTTTTTTTCACTTGTTATTTTCACTTGTATTTCAGTTTGTTAGATTTGCTTCCGCTTAGCTCAAAATGTAACTCCAGACTGGTTAGAAATCCAACTTGAAAATGTCCTGTAAGCCTACATCAACTCTTTTTGACAGCAGGATTTCTAAAAGCCTGCGCATTCAAGCCATTCGAATTGGAATATTTCGAATTTGATTATTCCAATAGAACTAAGGGTTGGTCGCAATAAGACTGGGGTTGTTTTCTGTTATTCTTTCTGACTTGCCTTGTGACGAATAAAAAAAAACGAAAAATAAAAACAAAGCACGTGCCAAGTTGTTTGTTATTGTTTTACTTACAATTACCGGCAGCAGTTGGTACTCTAGGAAATATTCCTAACAATCAACATTATTATTCGCAAGAAAGTACATGTGTATGTGTATGAGTGTGCGTGTGAGAAGATTGTATATTTGTGCCATGAGTTGAAGAATATTCCAAACAATCAATGATGATGGTATACATGTATACCATCATCCCTATATAAGTTCGCAAAACTCATTTTAAGTTGCACATTGCCTTTTAAAGTTGAACTGATGACATCAGTCTAACCCTAAACAAACGGAAGTTTATCCCGTCCACCCTAATGTAATACCCTAATTTCGTATTTGGATTCTTAATTTCCAAATACTCTCCAAATACTCTAAAATCATTTCGGTTGCACTGATTTCATTACAGTCGAAATCGCTTATAACTACGATCAAGGGGCCGGCGAAAATGGTCGCAATACGTGATAGTCGTTATAATCGATATCGAATAAAGGGCAGATTTTTTTCTCGGAACTTTTGGATACCGTCGTTATAACCGGTATGCCGTTAAAAAGGAAGTCTATTCCCGTAGTGTAAAAAAAAATTGTTATCGTAGTAAAAAATAGCAGTACGGGAACATACCATTAATGATTGAACTAATGCTAAAACATTAAAGGTAGGTACTAAACGGAATACATTTTGCTATTTACATTTGGTTTATCTAATTTAAACATGTTTCATTACATTGGGGCGTGAAAGTATAAAAGAAAGGTCATAATCGGCAACATTGACAACATCAATCTGCATAAACCTTGTTTGTTTCATATAGTTTACGTAATTCAGTAGTGTTACAAAGGGTCAAACTTTTTTGATGTAAGGGTTTCTTCTGTAATTGTTATGTGATTGTGATAATAATCAGCAAAAGGATTCATTATAAAATGGCATGTCGACATAAGTTATCTTGACATGTAAAAATAAATACTAAAGAGAAAGTAAAATCATATATTGAAATATTATCGGTTAATTAAAAAGTCTAGCGATAAATGTTCAGTTATTTATAAAAATATTAGTAATAATGATAAACTTTAATTGGGCACAGAGAGTGAAATTTGATTTATGATTGAGATTGTATAGCAATCACGATTCATGACAATGATAACAAGAAACAAAAAAATGCACTATTAAAATAGATTTGCCAAAAATTATATTGACAAATTTAAAAAAAAGGTGTGTTGATGTATGCCTATCGCAACAACAAAATAATTCACTCTCCCAAAAAAATCTCCAAATAATATATAACAAAATAAAAAAAAAATCATGTTTAGTGATGGCTATATATCAGAATCAGTTGTGTGTTCCGACCGCTATATATCTTGCCCCAGTCTATGACATTTCAAACAGATTTATACCACTTGAAAAATATATTGCAAAATGTGGGCGCCTTAGTTTATTCATCATATCAAATAGTTGATATCCAAAAAATCGACTCCGAATTGTCTGAAATATCTTATAATCTCTAAGCATAAAAAATATAATTTAGAAGATTTTGCCAACAAATTTAACACATCCATTGAAGCACTTCTTGTATTGCTTCTTAACTTCCAATAAACATGGTAAATGTGCTCAAAAGAATTCATTTTAATGCAAAACAAAAAAATTATATAACATATTTAGTAATAAATTTAACGAACTTGAGAGAAAAAGGTTGTTTATAAATATTTCAAATGGATGGCATACATGCCATGTGTGTGTGTGTGCAAATTGTTTACAAATTCCAGGACATAGAAATGAAAGTGGAAGAAAAGTAATTTAGCAACAAATGGTGCACTAGAAAAAAACATTATCATCATATTTTTGTTTTGCAAAATTCTCTGGAGATTCATTGTCGTTTGTATATATTTGCGAGAAATAATTATTGCAAAATTGACGGTTTAACTTAACAAGCTTATGTTACACTTTAGGTGCCTGTGCACTGAACGTTTGATGATAAATTCGTAGAATTTGAGCAACTATGGCAGCGTCAATGGCGACTGCCATAGTAAGAGCCACTTAAGCCCCCAACGGCAGACAATATTTCTGCTCAGAGACTGAGACTGGGCTGTTAGAAGAGGAATTTACAAATTGGAAGATACAACGAATAAGCGAATAAGAATACATACATACATAGATATATACGTATTCCAATTAAAGATATTATTATATATGGATTTTATTCATTGTTGCTCAGTGTTGGCAGTGATGTCATGTAATAAAACATAAACACGCATTTACGCTAACTCTGAATAGCGTTTGCACAATTAAGAGCGTCAAAGCAGAACAATTTCAGATCACAAATTCCAAAACCGGTCTCTTCTTCTGAGATCGCCAACAAATAAAATATAGACGAATGTCTGTCTGGTGGTTTTGTGCGTGTGACGGTGTGTATCTAGTCTAGTGGTTTGTCTATGCGAGTTTGGCGTCGTCGTCATCAAAGATTTTATTAGGCCTAATAGGATGATGATGACGACGATGATCGACTTATTTTGCAGATACAAAATTGTCCATATAGATGTACATACACCTTATATTCATATATATACCATCTTATCTGAACGAAAATTAGCCTTCATTTTCGCAAAATGGATATTAGGGAAAACTTATGTAGCAATTTTCACTTAACATGCATAGACGTCAGGAGAAGTGGCGACGACTGGACACAAACAATCAAAACAAAACAAAAATAATCACAACGAAATGTTAATGAACACGTACCAAGTGAAAAGGTATCCACATTTTGGGGAGGGGGAACAGAGAGAGACAGACACACTCACACATCAAGTACTTACTTGGAGAGGTCCATTCAAATTGTGGGAGTTGGACAGGTTTGTTACTGGGTGTATGTTTCACCACGACGATATACCTAGGTGGTGTTCGTATGTCCACCAGTAACAACAGGAAGTGGGTGGTGGGAATAATTCGGAAGTGGGTATTTGGATGGGATTCCACTCGGAATTGATGGGTAACAACAAAACACCGATAGCACGGATGGAAGGTGAACAGCGCAAAGTAAAGACTCGCTGACCACACCCCACAATAAATTCACAATTATCTCATGAGCATACATTTACACACGACGATGTTCTTTCTATCTATGTATCTAATGGATATCTATCTATTTGTGCGTTTACATTCTATACATGTACACAAACATTCACACACAAAAAGAAGATCAGCAAGCACACCACATATTGACGTCATTGTTTTGGGAAAAACAATGCAAATTGGAACTGGGATTAAACAGAAATGTCTGCTTTCTTTTCTTTTATTTGCACAACAATTGCTAATAGCTGGGAAGAGCCAAAAATAAATTTACTGAACATACTTTGTCGTTTTGAATGTCATTTTGAATAATCGCGGTCATTTTTGCGGCATAAATGTATTTTTGTTTAGTTTCTTAAAAAATACACTGGAAAAATGCACGGATATCGAATACAATTCAAATCTGTCTCCCGTCTCGTTTAAAACACAACTAAAACTAAACAACTCGACGAGCACAGCAACTCGTACACTGATCCGGCTCAAATTAAAAACGTTCCACCGAAACAGCAACTTAAAGCAAAATGGCCAAGAATGACCATTGTTTACGAATGGGGTATAATGGAGGCAAAATCGAAAGGAACGGTTGGAACTAGATCCAGCACATTAGTTCAACTTGTTCCATCATGCGTCGTTCTTTCTCGTGTGTTTGGCAGACGTTGCCACATTGCCAAACAGATAACTTGTATGCAATAAAGCCAGATTTACACCGAGCATGTTCTACGTATTTAACATACATATATACAAAGGAAATGAAACATTAAACGATGTAAAATTTAATTAAAATTGAACATTGTAAGAGGAATAGTGTGACGTTTTTTTATATTCAAAAGTTTCCGATTAAATATTAAAACGGTGGTGAGGTCAAAGTATTGGTCTATTACATGGAGTAATTATCACAAGGTATATCAAAGGTACATTTTACATTTTTAACATACAATGCTTTCATTCAACACGATTAATAGTTATCGTTTAATAATAGCTGTAATTTAAATAAAACCCATTTTTTCAACTTCTGTTATTTTTGTTATACAACTATTTAGAACTTTAAACCAATAGAATGACACACATAAAGCGTTGGTATTTTGGTAATTTTAGAAAAAGTGACACAATATTTGGTGCGTGCGATTTCGCATAGAATTTCGAGCAAATCGGGAAATGAGTGTTTTTATTAATATTGTATGTAAAACGAAATGAATAAAGCTCGATTTTTTTGATATGCATTGATCGAAGTCGACGGTATTTTCAATCAAAATAAAATCCGATTTATTCATTTCTGTCTTTGAAATATTGCACATTTCTACAACCCCTTGGATGTTTGCTATAGAATTTATAATGGTAGCTTAAAATTGGTCTTATGGGTA